GGAAAAACAAGCCGCCAGCCCCTCTAACGCGGGGACTGCGGCACTGGAGGTTTATCGCCGAGCCTGACGATGCCTGCGCCGGCAGGTCGGGGGTGTTTGTTGCAATGACAGCAGTAGGAAGGCCTTAAACCTTGACCTTGACGAGGGGAAAGGGAAAAAAAAAAAAAAAAAGACAATTTGTGTGCGCGCATGCACCTGCGCACGCCGGAGCGGCCTGGGCTACCCGGCTCTGCGCGTATGCATCTCTGTGTATATATATGTATGTGTGTGCATATACATATGTATGTATGTGTGTACATATATGTACGGGTATATGTATATACGCATACCAGCTCGGGCCTTAGGGATGTGCAAGGCAGAGCTTGGAGCAGGTTATGCCACGCTTTCCTCCTTTATCGAGGCTGACAGTAGACCGGTGAGTCTGATTTCTGGGGCAAATCTTTGGTCCGGCGGTGCCCTCCTGGGGGGCTCTCGGTTGGATGCGAGCAGCTTGCCTGGCAGTTGTGTGAGCGGCCGGCGAGTTTTGTCGGGCACAAAGGGAGGTCTCCTTTCGCCGGTTTTACCTCCCCCCCTCTTTCTCCCGTGGTGGTCTGCGGCTCTAATTAGAGTTATTGGGAAACCTTTACGGTAAATTTAAAAAGTATCATATACCGCGCTAACTGTAGACTTCTAGACTTACATTTCTGAAATTCAAAAGGGCCTACCTCTGCGGGGATAAGCACAGAGAGCTTGCTGACGCTCAGGTCTGACTGTAACGCATTTGTGTAATAACTTACATGAAAAGTACCTCAAGGAGAAATATCTGTTTTCCAGGAAGCTGTCGTATCTGGGGCTTTTCGCTCGCTGCGTTTCAATGTTTCCGAAAGGGTGCGGATTTTCTGGGAGCGCCACGGCGCAGCAGACGTGCCGGGCGTTATTTGGCTTCCCGCTTGCAGGTCTTAGGGTCTACCAGGTCTGCGGAGTGCCAGGATTTTTCAAGTGGGGCAAGGCTGCCGTGTGACCTGCGGCCGCTGAGCGTGGGAATATCTGTGGCATCCCATCGGGGACCGGTGAGGGACTTTCTAAGCCACATTTCCCTAGTCTTGCTATGAAAATGACGGAGGAGAGGTGTATACGTGATAGCTGGTTATGAGGCCTTGCAGTTGGACTCGGCTTTGGGGGGACTGTCTCCGTGAGTGGACGGAGAAGCAGTCCCCGTGGCCTGGCATGGCATGGCTCGCCCCATGCGCGGCCGAGGGAGCAAAGG